TTACGTGTAATAGACCGATCACCCCAGTCTTTCACTTTGAATAGCTAAAAAATGTAACCCTAGATTCCTCCCACCAGCCAAATCAAGGTGAAACATGCCAAGCGCCTAGGGAAAAGGTCTCTAAAATGTGTCCACTCACCCCAGGCTAAGCATAGCCACTTGACTGGTGCACAGTCAGATCCTCCAGAACATGAACAGATCCTAAAGCTACTCAGAGGCTGGGGCACATTGCGGGAGCGCTGGAGAAGCTGGCTGTGCTGTGCACCAGGTTTTGTGCATAGCTGGTCTCCAGAGCTGTTGGTATAACATCCTCCAGAAGTGCAGCATTCATGATGCTCTGACCTAGTGAGGCACTTAACCTTGCGGTTCGCTTGAAGCACATGAGCAGCCCAGTGAAGTAAACGGGAATACTTTGGCAGGCTGTGCTGGATCCAGGTCTTAAAGGTAGCCAGATAGACAAAGGCTGTAGCCACATCATAAAGGAGTCTATGGTGAGTGTTATCAAGCTCCGTAAAAGGCAAGTGAAAAGCACTTTGACACAAATTGGGCACCAGAACTCTGGTGTGGCATTAGAATGAAGACCTGGGTAAGATTTCCTCCAGTCACATCCACTGTTTGGATTCCCTGTGAGCTCCTCCTCTACCCAAACACAGGCCTACTACTCCCATGGCCTGATTTTCAGAGTGACAGCCTCTAGTTTTCCCAAAGGTCTCTCCTCCGAGTGCTAACCAGGCCTTACTCTGCTCAGTGCTTGAATTGTACAGGCGATCAGGCATGTTCAGGGTGGGGTCCATCAAGCATGTCCTAAAGCCAACGGGAGTTGCAAGTGCCTCGCAGCTCTGAAAAGGGGACCCCTCGTGCATAGTTATGTCAGGGTTTGGGGTGAGCTGTTCAAGGGGCAAGGAGAGAATTTAAGAGGTTAAAAAGAAGAGGGAACGTAGACATAGAAGGATCAGGAAAAAGGTGGATCTCTTTAACCATCCCCGTCTAATCTGTTCTTTTACACCAGGATACTGTCACATCAGGAGACGTCGGGGCTGCAGACAGGGAGAGGGAGCATAAGGGGAAGCTGCTCTGGGGACCAATGATTTAAAAGGGCCTGTGATTCCTAGCCACCACTGCTGCTACCTCGGCCGTGGGAGCAGCTGGAGCCCTGGGCCCTTTAAATCACCGCCAGAGCTCTGGAAGTGCTTACCCTGGGTCCCTTGCGGCACTGAAGGTCTGGCTGGGGGAGGCTAGCCCCAGCCCTGTCCCTTCCCTCTGAGGCCCAGCAAAAACTCTCTTGAGCCGCGAGATGTCTTGGTAGCACGTGGAGCCTTCCCTGAGGAGCAGAGGCCCATTGTGCTAGACCAGTGGTCCCCAACACGGTGCCCGCGGGCGCCATGGTGCCCACGGGGGCATTCGTGTGCGCCCGCCAAGTGCTCAGGGCTGGCCTGGTCCCGGGCACGTGGCGCATGCACGGTGCCGGAACCGGCCCCGGGTGCATGGCGCACGGTGAGCGCTCATGGGGGGAGCGCCGGCCCCGGGCACGCGGTGCTTGGGGGGGGGCCGCCCCCGGTGCGTGGTGCTTGAAGGGGGTGCCACCCCCGGGCGCGCGGCTATGAGGGTTGGGTGGGCCCCGCCCCCTGGCACCCAGCGGGCGAACGGCCACGCCCCCTGGCACCCGGCAACCTTAAATGGTTGGGAACCACTGTGCTAGACACTGTGTCCCAGATCCTGAACTCCCATTGATTTCCCTGGAGCCAGGATTTCACCCATTCATCTTTAAGACCACAAGTAATGTTTTGCTCTGACCTCCTGCCTAACACAGGACATCCAGTTTCACTCTGAGATTCCTGCT